TCTCTATTTTTTGTTACTCGAGTCATATAGATAAAATTTTGTGCTTTTGCGCGGTCTGGAAATTATGAAATACTTACTCAAGAACATTTTCTCCTTAGAAGCCACCTGATGACTCCTCTTGGATGAAACAAGCTGTATATGTTGAGGTAAAACAAACTATATCTGTCATATATCTATGGTATATCGGGCACTCTTTAGCATTTCGTGAACCAAACCACATTCGTATATTTGCATCCGTATACCGGTTGTGCATGCATAACGAAAAAACTTTCAATCAGAAAGGATTGAAAATTAGAAAGACATAATAACAAGGTGCTCCAGTGCATGGCCAGCCTTGCAACACCAAGCTTACGCTCGGAGACCTTAATTGGTGCCTTACGTGGAAAGGGTTTGTCAGCAATCTGGGCGTTTAAGCTCTATTTCCTCCTACAAATGCTTTATCATTATTACTTAAACAAGTTTATATGCCGGGTTACTTATACTTTCAACTGGAGATTGATTTGGCTTCTGAGTTGAAAACTGTGGATTTAGAAGCAGCGGGCCGGGGCACTTGAGGAAACCGTCTTGATAGAGCCATTCAGCCAACACCTCTTTAGGATGTGCTTCGAGCATTGGAACAGGAAACTGCTTTTTTACCCTTTGCAAATAGGATAATTTCTCCTTGGCAAAGTGAACAGCGGAACATACATTTGTAAGGTTCTTTGTCCATGAAAAAAACATTAGCAGCAGAAGAATAATTATGAGGAAAATGCACTTTAGGTAGCATTAGTTTACATGTACATAAATTTATCAACATAATGGAGTCAGTTACTCATGCACAGTTTTTGAAAATACATTATCAAATGTTAAACCAAGCTGCTCAAGTTTCTTGGAAACATGGGGTTGATCTTTTATCCATGGCTTGACTTTTTCTGAGAGAACAGTTTTATTTATGGGGACATTCTTTGTTGCTGGTTTAGCTAAAACAACCTTATTAACCATTGCTTTTTTGTTGCTATTGAAGCAGGCTGTTTGTCAGGTTTGGAACGTTTACAATTTGCAAGTTATTCGGCAGCATTGAGAAACATTGTCAGTACAGGCTTAAAAAGAGAGAAAGATTCAAACTAAACAAGATAAACACACACTAACATACACTAATTAAAGGACGAGCTAAAGGATGTAACATCTGTAATCACAACATACCAACAATCACCATTTTTTAACGGTCAAATAACCGAATCAAATGTTATTTCATCCACCAACTTTTAGGCAATTTCTGGCAAATCGTTAAAGTGCCTATGCATGAAAATTTTTTTTGACTAAATTGCAAAGTTTATTTGAAATCATAATGTAACTTTTTTCTAAAACTTTGTTATCTTTCCTGTATATCAAGATATTGGAACTTGTTTGGCATGCAAATATGACCTAAATGACGTCAAATTGCAAAATGTATTTTACAGAAGACTGTTTTTTAGCATGATAAAATTGTCATCAACTCAAATTTGCAGACGAACAGTGAAGTATCTAGCGGTCCTGCTTGTCCTGCCCAGCAGGATTAAAAATGTCCTCAAATTTCCTTACTAAAACACTGCTTTATTAATCTTGAAACTTTATTTGTCTCATTTTCTTGTCTTTTTCGCTGTTATTTTTTAAAAAGGTTTTCACATTCTGTTATATTTACGCAATTTTACAGCTTGCCGTGTTTGTTACCTAGCAACGGCAACTCTACATCGATTTACACGCGCTCTTGTTTTAGTCCTGTCATTTTCAAATGGCAGGACTTGCCAGTATATATTTTCATAGATAAAAGAGGAAATGGTTTGGAAACTCGTTAGCATTACAATAAAATCACAATAAACCTCATTATCTATGTTGTTCAGGTTTATGCAAAAATGTGGTCTTTCATCGTCGCGTGCGTATTGTATTTTTCTCAAGTCAACCAATAAGAATGTTCAAAATGTCCTATTGTTAAAGTAATGGATGGGCAATTGGACAAAACCGTTGCTATTGGCTGGTTGAGCAAAAATACAATACGCACGTGACGACGAAAGACCACATTTTTGCATAAACCTGAACAAAAACATAGATAGTGAGGTTTATAGTAATGCTAATGAGTTTCCAAACCATTTCCTCTATTAACTATGATATTTTATAGTAAATTCACACAAGAAATATTGGTTTCTGATTGGATAATTAGTTCTGCGCATGCTCAAACCGACTGTTTACAAATGCGAAGTCCTGCTCTCTCGAAATGGCAGGACTTGGCCTTGTATTGTCTTTACTTGCGAGCTTTCCGCGTGACTAAACCCACTAATTCTGTCGAGATTACTAAAGTAATAGCATAGTTGTCCGGGTTTCTTTTGTTTCAACAGGGTCGATTACTAACTAATCGCGCGCTACAGCGGGCGATTAGTTCTAATCGCCCACTGTAGCGGGCGATTAGTTCTAATCGTCCGTTGACAAGGGTCACACCCTTTGTCTCCCTGCTGACTACACATTAGGCAAGTGCCTCACGCACATAATCGTGCAAGGAACAGCAACAGTTCGCTCAGAGCCGTCAATAGTCTATCATCCGATCCCTGAGTTGTTGCATCATTTAAATTACGCACGTGCAGTCTCCGATTTTATCCCCGAGCCGATGGCGCGAAACGCCGTGCGAGGGTACGAATTCCGCCTGGCTATTTACACCCAGGGAAAGGAACGCACTAGCGAAGTCTAAAGTTCATCAAATACCGTGGGCGCATGGCTCACCGTTCATGGTTCATTGGTGGTCATCCTCATTGATCTCAAAATATGTAGCAGACTGTCATGAATAGTGAGCACTGATTGGCCAAATTTGAAATTTGCATTCTAACGACTGCATTGACGACAGTGAAATAACAAACATTTCTTGCAAGTTGTATTTTTGCGGCAAGATTTTGTAAATTTCGAAACCTTTCTGAGAGCCAAAAAAACGTCTAAAAACGTTTAAAAGAATAGAGCAAAGTCGCCGACGTTATATATAATGAAGGTAAGTTTGTTTTAAATATTGATGTACTATATTGTTTGTTATATAATTGATATATTTATAACTGATAGTGGTGGGCGATACTGCGAATATCGAACTGATACTATCATTGCGTATATAAGTGAAAAAAGACAGCATATAATTTCAGTGTAGTTTTATTAATAATTACCCTTCTTTTGTATATTAAAGTATTTAAATATAAAAGAGGAAAGCAAAGTTATTTTCATGCGAGAATTTGAAATCAGTTTATTTCAAACTCAACGTTTGGCGATAATTCGATAAAAGGCAGTTTAGTTTTAAGAACATTTTAAAACGTTTTGCGAAGCGTTTGTGGTTGAATTTTACATTAAATTAAAGATTATATTACGTATAATAAAATACCTAGCATATATATGTTTGCGAAATTGATAATTTTGTTATTAAAAGTGATATTTTGGGGGGATTTTTCAATTTTAAAAGTATTCTTAAAATGATCGTGTTACCATAACAACTACTTTCAATTCTTCATATTCAGAAAGCATAATGTTTTGTCAGTAAGGCGAGGGTGTCTGCATGCATGTATTTTCTAGTACTAATATATTTAGCGTTTTTGTTGTGGTACGTTAAATGATAGATTGCGCATGCGTAACCGATTAAAGCGTAAAAAATGCGCATGTGCAACAAGCTTTTACATCCCACAAGCAAAAAAGCAAATGTTTTAGCTTAAATTCGCTGATTGTAAGTGGGGCATGTTTGTCCATTTTTAAATGGGAGCGCAACTATGCTATTACAAACGAATAGCATGGCTTTTCGGGAGATTAGTGATTAAATGACCCCTTACCCTCGGCAGGTTTGCGGAATTCCCTCGGGGATTTCGCAAACCTGCCTCGGGTTACGGGGCCATTTAATCACTAATCTCCCTCAAGCCATGCTATTACTTATAATTATGAATATGGATATCAACAAGTGTGGAAGCCTAAGGTGATTTTGATATAATTTCTGCATGGCTTCTGCTAAGATATTTTAGCTCACGAAATGCATGCCGGTGATTAATGTAAACAAACTGGACTGACGATTGTGTATTTTTATATACAGCTATTTCAATTAAGGTTGTCCACGAGCAAAGCGGAAAAGTCGAATACGAGCGCGAAAGGCTGCTGGGAATCGCTAACAAATTAATGAATTTTCAAAGCGGTTCCCAGCAGCCTTTCGCGCTCGTATTCGACTTTTCCGCTTTGCTCGTGGACAACCTTAATTGAAATAGCTGTATACAATACAGTATATTAATGGGGAATACAAACTTCATTTGTGAAGCCTGTCGTATTGATATAAAGTGAGAACGTAATATTTACTGCCAGTTCATCTGCTTTATGCATTGAAACACGAACACTTATATGGAGTTTAAAAAATGATGTTTTATATGTAGCCATATTTGGCCTCATACACTATATTAAACGCTATATTATTTAATACCATGGGCATAGCGTACTGAATTACATTCAGAGTGCCAGGCGTAGACGTCTGTAGTTGATACCACTGCATTATATAAAATAAAGTTTAACACATTACTAACAAACATAGTGAATTTTTAACGAATGCTAGCCGTAGCGTTAAAGTATAGTGTATAAAGCGCCGTGTTCCAGTACAATAGTTACGCAATTTCAGATATTCGGACATGGCGACTGACAGACATGCAATCAAGCGCACCGCGCACGAAATTAATAATTCATGTTTAAATTCGCCCTCCAAGTCAGTTAAGTCTAAAAATCAAAGACTTTCAAACACCCCGGTAAAGAAAGTTGAAAAAAATGTAATGAAAAAACGATGGAAGATTTAAACAGCATGATGGAAGTCATGATGACCCAAATGAAGAAGCTAGACAAGCTCGATATGCATAGAAGCAAAGTTACAATCGTTCGAAAATGAGCTCCAAGGAGCAAAAGACTCTTTAAATTTTGTACACGCCGAAGTAGAAAAATTAAAGAAAGGTGGCACCGCACACAAAGAGTGCTGAAAATTGAAAAGCAAAGTGCAAATGCTTGAAAACGAAAACACGAGGCTCAACAATAGCGTGATTGATCTAAAAGCGAGATCGATGCGTGATAATCTGTTGTTCTTCAACATTGATGAACCCACAGGAGAGGAAAAAGAAGACACGACGGAGATCATTCTGGCGTTATTGGAAGATAAACTGGAGATTCTCAATGCACGCAACAAGGTAAAGATCGATAGATCCGATTGGGCCCGAAGCGCCGAAATACGTAAAGTGGTCAACAGCGACAGCGGACCACCAACAAACCACGACCAATTGTCGTGAAATTCAATTATTTTCAGGACAAAAAAAATGTTTTGAGAAACACGAAAAAATTAAGGGGCACAAGAAATGGGGTTCAAGAGCAATTTCCCGAAGAAATCGAGCGCGAGAGAAAGAAATTGTACCCCGTCATGAAGGAAGCGAGACAAGCGGGTAAGCATGCATGTGAGATTGGCTCGTGACAAACTGTACATTGATAGGCATCTATATCGTCCTATTAACTCTTAACTCTAGAACATTTATTGGTAGGCCTCATTATAAATTTCCTTTCTCTATGAATATTTTAACTATATTATTCACAAACATGAATTTCAGTTGTGACGTGAAGTCAGTCACGTCATAAACATTCTTAATTTAAAACATTACGTAATTTTGCTGAGTCATGCTTTTGCTATATTTATCGTCTTATGTAATATTTAAAAATAATATATATGTAATGTTCTATAAATATCTATCGAATAGTATATAAGCAGCGAAAGCTTAAGCTAGAGGATAATTAGAAGTAATATAGTTAAAGAGAATTAAAAAGTTTAGAGAGAATTGTTGTTGTTGTTCAAGAAGAATAAATTGATATTGTTGGAGTTATTGTCGTCGAAAAGTTTATCAGACTAAGAAGAAAGATATTCCAAATAGGAGAAAGCCTCCTTGGCCAGCGCGTTTCGCAGTGTCTGGTCAAGGAGGGAAACGAGCGTAAACAAGATGAAGATGCAGACATGCATTTTTGTTCGTTCTCGCCCGCGAACGTAACACAGTACTCATATACACTAACAAGCAGTTTGCGCAACATGCTGTTTTTTGATTATGAACGTATTTGGTGGTCAGGCAACGTGCAGCTAGCTAGTCACGCAAAGTGCAATTTTTGTTCACTCAATTAATACACCTTGAGTTTATGCGTCACCAGAAATGTGATTAAAATGTGCAACTTTATTCATGGCTAGCTCAAGAAATAATATAAAGAAATACCGTTCTTGCTGTAAGTCAATTGAAGCGCACAGTAGATGTCTCAAATGTACCACATGTCAAAAATGGCTCCATGCGTCTCAGAATTGCGCCAAAACACACTTTACCTATGATGCAAAGGAAATTGAAATATGTCATATATGTTTAAATGAATCGTTGCCGTTCCAATCACTAAATGATGAAGATTATGAGTTTACTGTTAAAAACAACAGACATATAAGCGAAATTCGAAAGAGAAAGGGATAGACTAGAAGGACTGAAATTTAATCCGTTTAGCGACTAATTAAGACTTGCAGACGCTGCAAGTCTATTAAAGAGAAAGAGTCGAATCTTGGCGACTTGGTATGGGTAATGAAAACAATTGACTGCAACTACTTCTTACCAAACGAATTTGCAGAAAGATTTGCTGGAAAAATATTGAGGATAATTTAAAATTAATGCACTTAAACATAAGAAGCATATCAAATAAATTTGACTTGTTCAATCACATGCTGAGATCTTTGAATACTAATTTTTTAGTTATTGGATTAATTGAGACATGGCTTCATGATGATAATCAAGATAATTTCTCATTAAAAACTATGATTTTGTGAATGTAAACAGAAAACTTAAAAAAGGTGGTGGAGTAGGTATTTATATTTCACAACATCTTAAATATAAAACTAGGAATGACCTGAATGCCACTAAAGAGGACATAATTGAGTCTGTGTTTATTGAAATACCCACAAAAGTTAATAAAAATATTATTGTTGGGGGTAATTTATAGACCATCGAACAGTAAATTTGATGAGTTTGAAAGAACACTGAATCAAACATTGTCCAAAATTGACAAAGAGAATAAAACGTGCAATCTCATGGGTGACTTTAACGTTGATATGCTAAAAAGTGAAACGTGTGATTTTGCAAATAGACTTACACAAAATCTTTTTACATCGTTCTATTTCCCATAATTACAATGCCTACAAGAATTACTCAACACACTGCGACTCTAATTGATAATATATTTTCGAATGACCTAGAGAAAATTAATCACAGTCAAAATGGTTTAATTTTTAGTGACATTTCAGATCTACCTATATTTCATATATGTGGAGTAAACAAAGAAAATACCAAAAATAGAAAAAAACACTAACATAAAATATAGGAGAATGATAAATAGAGCTAACCAATTAAAATTTGTGGATAGGATTAAATCTATATCTTGGGAAAATGTACTATCAAACTCCAATGCTGGAGTTTCATTTGACAATTTCCATAATATATTTAAAGATAATTATGACGCTAGTTTTCCACTTAAGAAAATTAATCAGAGAAAAATTGATACAGTTAAAAGTCCGTGGATGACAATGTTCATCTTTAAATCTGTACAAACTAAAAACTCACTTTATAAGAAATTTCTAAAAAATTCTACTGAACGAAATGAAAAAAAATTATAAAAGATTTAAAAATAAGTTGAAACATGTAATTAAAATTGCAAAAAACTACACTATGAAGAATTATTCATAAAATATTAAAACGATACTAAGATGACATGGAAGACTATTAATACACTATGAAATAAAAATGTAAAAACTAAAGAATTACTTAACAAATTCATTGCAAAAAACTCAGGCGAATCAATAACAAAGCCTTCAAAATCGCTGATAAATTTAATGAATATTTTATAAATATTGGATCACAATTGGCCAGCAAAATAAATGGAAATTTGGAGACTTCAATTCAAAAATATCTTACGGGAAACTTCATGAACAGTATGTTTCTAAATCCAATAACTGAAAACGAAATGATAAGTGAAGTACTTAAATTGAATGACAATAAAAGCCCTGGCTATGACGAAATCAATGCCAAAATTATTAAAACTGTCGCAACAGACATTAGTCAACCACTTACCCATATATTCAACTTGAGTTTCACAACAGGTTTTATCCCTGAGCAGTTAAAGTTGGCCCTGGTTACTCCTATTTTTAAAGCGGGTGATAAACAAATATTTGAAAATTACAGACCTATTTCCGTTCTGACGTGTTTCTCTAAACTATTAGAAAAACTTATGTACAAATTAGTTTTATTGAGAAAAACAAAATACTAACAGAAAATCAATATGGTTTTAGGCGTAATAAATCAACAGAAATAGCAATTGTAAATCTTGTTAGCAAAATTACCAAAGCAATTGATGAAGGTAAATATACAATAGGAATTTTTCTTGACCTATCAAAAGCTTTTGATACCGTTGATCATGATATTTTATTAAAAAAGATGGAGCATTATGGAGTAAGAGGGCTTGCTTTAACGTGGTTCAAAAACTATTTAATGAATAGAAAGCAGATTGTGAAATTCAAACAGGAAAATTCTAAAGAAATGAAAATTACAACTAATGTTCCCCAAGGATCTGTTCTTGGGCCATTACTTTTTTTTATTATACATAAATGTCATACAAAACTGCAGTGATGTTGTTTCATTTGTCCTGTTTGCAGATGATACAAACGCATTCTATTCTAATTCCAGCATTAATATAGCAAAAGAAACAATGCAAAGAGAGATGAATGAAATACTTAAATGGTTAAACACAAATAAACTCTCCATAAATACAACTAAAACAAAATTGATCCTTTTCAGAGCACGCAATAAATTCCCCCTTCAAAATTGCAAAAATTGATGAGTGTCCAAAAGAAGATTGTGCGTCTAATCACTTTCAAATCGTATTCTGAGCACACGGAACCATTAATATTATTCAAAAAATTAAATGTATTAAATATTTACAAAATAAATGATTATTTGACCAGTTTATTTATGTTTCAATTTTACAACATGAACAATATGCCCGAAATTTTCAACAATTTTTTCAAAACTAATAATGAAATTCATCATCACAATACTAGAAGTTCCAAAAAACTACATGTCATGGTATCCCTGTGTATATGCCTTATATGGTAGTGCATGCCTTATATGGTGGTCGTCCGCCATCTTGAAATTCATGAGTTATCTGGTCCGTTGAAATCCAAATCGGAACAAGAAAAGATTAGCTATCTTCTCATCTGGACAGGAGACGAAGGAATTGAACTAGCATCAACTCCCAAGTTGATTTATCCGACGAGGAGAGGAAAAAATTGAATACATATTGGGCAAAATTCGAGGAATATGTCGCCCCAAAGAGCAACTTCAGGCTAGCAAGGTATAAACTACGTACTCTTAAACAAGCTGAAGGTGAGACAATAGATTCATTCTTAAAGAAAATTAGAGTTCTAGTAAGTGAGAGTAAGTATTCTAATGCAGATGAACATCTTATCGATGCTCTAATTTTTGGCTCCAATAACTCAAATGTGCAAGCCAAATTACTAGAACTAGAAAATACATGCATGCAGAAACCCTCGCCTTGCTGACAAAACCGTTGTATTTTCCGAACATGAAGTATCTAAAGTAGTTGTCATGGTAACACGATAATTTTTTAAGAATATTCTTACAAATGAAAATCGCCTAAAAATATCACTGTTAATTACAAAATTATCAATTTCCCAACATATTTATGTTAGGTATGTAATTATACGTAATACAAGCTTCAATTTAAGGTAAAATTCAACCACAAACAATTCATAAAACGTTTTAAAGTGTTCCTTATAAAACCATAGGCTGCCCAAAAGTGCGTGTTGTAATTTTTACCCTCGCGCGTGGCGCTCGGGCGTGCATCGAAATCGAGTCTACTCAGTTTATTATTATGACAAGGTTGGCAAGAGTTTTAACGGAAATTTATTACAACGTTTACTAGAGTATGAATATTTCGCAAATTACAAACAAAAACAATATAAACTTTACATCATTTCAAACACTGGTAATTTTACTACATTCTCTCAAAGTTTTAACTTCAAAAGTTCATTCTAAGGTTGTTAAAAAAGCGAATTATTTTCAGGTTTTTTGCAAAATTTTGTCAAGACTATGCTGGGGTCACGTACCCTGTGGTGATGTCATATTTTTTAAATCTTGAAGAAGCGCTGATTTGCTGTTGTACACGATTCCAGTACAACAGCAAATCAGCGCTTCTTCAAGATTTAAAAAATGTGACATCACCACAGGGTACGTGACCCCAGCATAGTTTTGACAAAATTTTGCAAAAAACCCGAAAATATTTCGCTTTTTTAACAACCTTAGAATGAACTTTTGAAGTTAAAACTTTGAGAGAATGTAGTAAAATTACCAGTGTTTGAAATGATGTAGATTTTATATTGTTTTTGTTTGTAATTTGCTAAAAATTCACACTTTAGTAAACGTTGTAATAAATTTCCGTTAAAACTCGTGCCAACCTTGTCATAATAATAAACTGAGTAGACTCGATGCATGCCCGAGCGCCACGCGCGAGGGTAAAAATTACAACACGCACTTTTGGGCAGCCTATGGTGAAACTAGCCCCTTTTAATTAGGGGGGTGTCTGGCAGAATTGCCCTGCCAAAACCAATGATGCCCTGCAGCCTGCGGCGCCAGCGCTAATACAATGCATCACTAAGCTACGTGTATAATTGAACTGCCGATGCCAGTGTGCGTGCACACGAACTGCTTATTGTTTGCTAACTGTAATAAGTTACTTAATAACTCTACATTCTATCATTTAAATTGCCTTGCCAATCGGGTTGATTCGTATTGGGGGGGGGGTGCCCATACCACCTCATGTTTCGCCCCTAGTTTAGAGTGGTCAATGGTATCAAATGCTTTAAAAATATCCATATAAGAAACAACATTAGTATGTAATCTTTTATCCAGGTTCTTCTCAATGTGTAAAATTGAGATAACAATTGATTTGTGTACGCATCCCATATTACGTTGAATGTATGTCGACTACTATACTAGAAAATACATGCATGCAGAAACCCTCGCCTTCTGACAAAACCATGCATTGTATTTTCCGAACATGAACTTTTTAAAGTAGTTGTCATGATATAAAAACGATAATTTTTTAAGAATATTTTTACAAATGAAAAACCCCTAAAAATATTAATTTAATTACAAAATTAACAACTTCCCAAACATATTTTTGTTAGGTATTTTATTATACGTAATATAAGCTTCAATTTAAGGTGAAGTTCAACCACAAATGCTTTGCAAAACGAGTTAAGGTGTTCTTTATAAAACTATAAAACTGCCTTTTGGCTTTATCGATAAACTTTGAGTTTGAAATAAAATGATTTCAAATTCTCGCATGCAAATAACTTTGCTTTCTTTTTTATTTAAAAAAATAATATAATAAAAAAGGTAGTCAATAAAGTATACACTGAAATTATATGCTGTCTTGTTTCGTCAGGGCCGTAGCAACCGGTGGGGGGGGGGGGCTAGGGGGCTGCAGCCCCCCCCAATAATTGCTAATAATCATTCTTTTTTCAAAATCATACAGACCTTTATCATTTAATCTGTGACAAACTGCAAAGAATGAAGGTATTTCCCACACTTTTCTGCAACTTATTCAATATATAGTTAATTAAATACGCCTTCGCCCATTTAGTACTACTAAATTGTAAATTTCGACATACTAAAACGCTGTTTTCTGACTATCAGAATTCTGTCAAATCTACCCCAAAGTCGAGGAAATGGCATTTCAGAGACCCTGAGTTAAAAGATTTCCTCGGGCCTTCGTACCTCCCTTTCAGTCCCAATCGAAAAGAGCTTCCTACGGCCCTGTTCGTTTATACGCAACGTTTATACGATCGGCTTTTAAAGCAATAATAATATACATAAAGATATTACTCAACTGTGATTGGTTGATTTCAGTGCAGTTAATCCCAAACAGCAGTGCAATTTTCTGTAATCACAGTGCAATTTTCTGCAATCACAGTGGAATTTTTTGTAATCACTGTGAAAATCACAGTGAAATTTTCTGTAATCACAGTCACAAAATAGGAAAGTATAGCAGAAGTGTAACTTGAGTCGGTGCCTTTGTTGTTTTACGTCCACGAAAATTTTAACTCGCTCACGCCAGTCCACGCCAACCTGACTAGTACAGCCGCAAGTTTTATCAGGTTTTGGTAGGTACAAAGTGCCGGTTGTACTAGCCAGGATGACGTGATTGATGACGAATCGCTTGTAAAAACGCGGACAAATAGTTGCTTGAGTGAGACTTCTGGTATACCTTCCTATTCTGTGTCACAGTGCAAAAATCTGTAACAAACTGATCTGATTGGTGGAAAAACATTGTGATGATTAAATCAACCAATCAGTTCAAAGCAATTTAGTTTAAAGAAGTAACGGCACAGAGTAGATACATATACAGAGTTGTAACTAGTGTGCCCACTTTTTTGTGCGCGTGCTCGGCAAGTTACTAGATGCATGCATCTGATTGGATGGCGGCTCGCTTTAAAACTTGCCGAGCACGCGCAGTTGATCATTTTTTGCCCGGTCGCCTGAAAAAAAGTGGGTACATGAAAACGTGAGCTTCCGCAGTGTTTACAACGGTCAGTTACAGCTCTGTATGTCTCTCCTCTGTGGTAACGGTCACGGATTGCTTCAAAACAAAACAAACATGGCGCCGCGCTACATAAAGTAAAAGTTGCCTTCGCGTGGAAAATATGGCTTTTATCTTTATTTTTAAATGGAAAAGCATTTACCTTAAACAAGACTGACAAAAATTACATAGTTGAGTGGAATTTTCAGGCTGTTAGCGTTGTATAATGTGATAAAACAAAGCCAGGAAAACTTTGCCAGTGGAATGTTCGCTATAAACGCCTAAGTTGAAACTTTAATTGTCAATTGTCTCGAATATTTTTATGTAAATTATTATAGTAATATTATAGTAAGTAATAGCATGGTTTCGCCTGAAATTTTGATAAACATGCACTCTTGAGTTTTTCAAAGACCTCAAATAGCACATTAGCACTCGTCCTTCGGACTCGTGCTATTTTGGAGTCTTTGAAAAACTCACTCGTGCATGTTATATCCAAATTGCACTCGAAACCATGCTATTACCTATACTTATAAAGCAAACAATACATTAATATTTAAAACAAACTTACCTTCGTTAACGCGTACGTCGGCGCCTTTGCACCCTTCTTTTAGTCGATTCTTTCACCCTTTTTTCTTAAAAAGCTTTTGAAATTCACAAAATCTTTCAAAAATGAAATATATTTGCAAGAAATCATCAAATGAAGAAATGTTTGCTATTAAGCTGTCGTCATGCATTCGTTATAACGCAAATTTTAAATTTGACCAATCAGTGTTCGCTATTCATGACAGTCCGCCATATTTTTGAGATCAGTGAGGATGACCACCCACGTTGGTCACCCACGCCCGCGATCATTGATGACTTCGCTAATGCTTTCGTTTCCCCGGGTGTAAATAGCCGGGGGGGATTAGTACCCTCGCCGGGTTGCCCCGGGCTTACGCCCGGAACGGCGCACCGCGCCCTTGGCTCGGGGTTAAGTGGTGAATCTGTGAGTTATATATGATTGGCGATACATATTGTTCAAGATTCTTGTTTATCGATAACAAAAAAATGGGACAATAATTCTCAACGTAATTTTTGTTTTCTTTCTTTTGTAGAGGAATGATTTTAGCAAATTTGATGAAGATGCTTGATCCGAAAAGCAGGTACGGACAGAATGGAAGCGCTCATTAAACATTCTCGCAATCATAGTATCATTTGGTGAGCTAGCGCGTAACCTACGCCCAGGGTTGTATGTAACAATTGATTTAATGGTTTTATGATATGATGCGGTGGCGGAATCGTCAGAGCAAGCGCCTTTCACCTCTGAGATTATGGTTTTATGATATGATGCGGTGGCGGAATCGTCAGAGCAAGCGCCTTTCACCTCTGAGATTCTATAGCTATGAACTCATGTGTGACTCGTGTGAAAAGGGTATGTCGACGTTCTGCCGAAAGTCGTGGGTTTTCTCCGGGAGCTCCAGTTTCAATTCCTCCCACAGGGAAAGTTGACAGGGTGGGTTAGGATAAACACAGTTTGGAAAGTAATATTACAATTGTTCTAAAAATAAATAGTCTAAACTTAGTAGGTAATACAAGTAAGCGTAATAGGCTACTTGATGAAATCGGTCGCTGAAAAGCCCTGATGCGGAGTGAGATGAATAATCATAATCATGATTTTTTTCATATGATGTCATGCTGTAATTAAATGCCCTTAATAATTATCGTAAAATTGTGACTTTAATTTTTCCGTCTGTATTGAACATATGTCAATGTTGTTTATTTTCAAAAATCAAGACGGCCACAGCAACGATGATATCAAATGAAATGAAGTTGCTCGCAAAACGAAAAGAAGAATATTTATAGTTCACATATTTTAAACAGTATGGGGAAAAAACAGCCAATCTTTACAGCTAATCTCTTTGTTCTATTAATATTTCAGATATAAAATCATTGACATTGACTTCATACAGTACTTACCAGTGGTGTGTTTGCGGCAAGTTGCACAACATCTTTTCTTCATAAAATCTGCATATCCATTTTCAGGACTGCAGTAGCCAGCTTTGCCCCATCCATCGCACTGTCGATCTTTATCAACGCAAACTTCAGCTGTTGTTTTGAAGGAAAAGTATATAACGCTTCTGTCAGTTATTTGCCCACTATCAAAGAACGGATAATTCCAATCTGGAAATCTCATGCAAAACTTTTTCGAGATTTCCAGCGAAGGCCCTATATTGTTCTAACATTATAGACTAAACGAAGACGCCCAGTTGGTCGTCAGAGCGCTGCACCGGAATCGCAGGGTCGCAGGTTCAATTCCTGCCAGGGATCTAAAGTTGCATTTTTTCGCTTCTGTTCCTGGTTAGGTCTACTAAGTGTATATAAATTTCCACTCGCCAATTTCCTTCTACAATGCCCATCAATTATATATTAACCAAAGTTAATAGCTAGTGAACCATGCGTGATCCGTAAGTACCACCGCTAGTTTCTAGACCACCTCGGTCAGAAGCTTGCACCTAACCTTCCAATTTGGTAAGTGTGGTTATATCTATGGTGAACGTAGATATCAATAAGCGCTTTCACACCGCACTTTTTATTAAAATTAATCCAAACGCTTTTTAATCAAGACGTTTATAGACTTAATCAATGCTATTCATTTCTCTGATTCACAGACGTCAATATGCTGTTGATTTCCTTCTTAGTTTGGCTCATGAAGTTTTAATGAGTTGGAAATACATGATTCAGACATACGGTGCTTTTTCTAATTTACGACGTGATTAAAACTATTAATAACATAATGCATGCCATTATTCATTGGAAACATATCAATTTTTTAATCAAAGCATGAACCCGCCAAATTGATAATTACTGTAACAAACTTGTATAGTTTTGTTATCTCTGAAACATAATGATCGTCATATATAAAATTATGCCTATATATGTTGAAAAATTAAACCTTGTATAACAAATCAAACCTGCGTTCAATCGCAGATTGGAACTTACTGGCACATCTCACTCCAGTGTACCCAGATGTACATCTGCAACTATATGTACCCCTATTGTCCGCGCATACCCCACCATTTAAACAAGGAAGAGATCGACATGTTGTTTTGGCTACAAAATAAAATGATAAATACAGAAGTGTCGTTAGATCGATCATTCCGACATCATTGCATATCATTCTCTATTAAAATCCTCAACCTAAAATTAGCTCTCCTTTTCAAAAAAAGGAGGAATTTGTTAAGCCCCACCCTCTTTATATTAGCCTTTCTTCTTCTTGAAAAAAGGCAATTTACATGTTTACTGATTAGATTTATTACTTAGAATGAAAGCTTACGTTATAGTTTACCGTCGTTTTTATACTATGATAATTAAATCAATAAGCTTCCTTTTGTATGAAGCTCGCTCCTCTCCAATAAGCCCCGCAAACTCAAACGTCTCTGAAATAAATAAACGCCTTTACTCATTCGAGCTCATGCTGGCCGTGATCATGAATTGTGTGCTTTATTATCTGCAAAATATTCATTGTTCAGTGGATATATAGTACTTTTTATCCATTAGACAAAATATCAATTTGACACTCCATGCATGAGACGTTTCGTATATTGATTAACAAGATCTATTTGGAGACTAAATATGCTCAATTTAGGACATTCTGGGACGGGTATAAATTATCATGGCTCCAGTTAAGCGTTACAGTACGTAACGGAATGATTTTATGGAATGACAGGAATTATAGGCTACAATTGGTTCCCTATATGTATCTCCAATTTTTCAAACAACAGCAGTGTCAATTATTTACAAAAAATGTCCATCAATGAGAGTAATTTGTTTCTCAACATATCATGTATGCACATCACGTTAAAGTTCATGGCGGCTTGTAAAGCCTGCCATATATATATATACAGTATCTCTACAATTATGCATATACAGGAAAGATTGATTTGCACACATATTACACAAAAGACAGGATAGATTCGAATCGTTTGACGTCGCTGACTTTGTTATAGAATATAGAGCGCCGGCAAATTAAATTTAACTTTAGTCAAACTTATTTATTAGCCTTTTAGTCCCCTCTAATTAACAAGATGGTGTCGATGAATGTAGTATTTGATATGCAAAAAATTCAATTTAAGATATAATTGAATTGCCGTAAAGTAAGTTGTTCTTACTGTATTGAATGAATGCATCAACGAATGAATGCCGGAATGAATGAACGAATTAATGAATCATGACTTTATTTGAAAAGAGTAAATTTCTACGTTGTTACTGCATGGTAAAAATATTCTTCCCAATGGCCCTTTATATGTAGTATACTAAATATTTCACCATTTTTAATACTTTACACCAATATTACATAGATGCATGCCTAGCATATTGAAACAACGAGCACAGCTAATTTCTCTAAATGGTCAACTTCGTAATTTAGTTGCAAAACGAAATACGCGGGCTTAAGCTTGAAGAAAGGGGTCATCATGTTTTTATCATTTTAGATCAGGTGGCAAGAAATTAAAGAATACGGCTCTACTATAGGAGAGTTTTCTCTTACTCATATTTAAAATGTTCGTAACTTTGATCATGAAGTCCGTATACTTTGCGGATTCAGTGCTTTCAACGTTAACTTACTATTGCAGTTGTATAGAAGTCGAGCTTGTTTCTTATCCATGTCACTCAATCCATATCTCTGTCCCAGTTTAATACCGTTCGTCGTCTTCCCTTTTTTTATTGTAATTGTGAGCGATCGACCATCTTTGGAGAAAGCCTTCGCCCCATAATGCATCACACTCTCGTAATCATAACCAACACCAAGATCATTAATTTTTGATGACGTATACTTCTCAAAGTTGAATCTCATTGCTGTCAGAGTAAACATAAAAATACCATTTTAAAAGTGGGTAATTACATCTGCACCCTAACAATAATTAATTACCAATTAATTTACACAATTTTCTCCTAATTCAACAATAATTAATTACCAATTAATTTACACAATTTTCCTCTAATTCAATCTCTGAACATTAATATATGTCGTTATGTTTGTAAAATTACGTTTGTTTTGTGCAATACGTTCTTAAAAATCTACCATGCACAGTACGATATTTTCGTATTTTTTACTTACACTTGGACAAACAGTTTTTATTTTCATATTGTGTTACTATACCTTTTTTAATTAACCGGGTATCTGGACACACTACACCACTTATCGTACATAGCACTAGTGCACTTTTTCATATATATTGACCTGCTTTTCATTCACTAGGTACGATATTATATTTCAGTGTATTTATACATATTGATCTCTATTAGATTTACCTGGTACGATATTATTCCAGTGTATTTCCACGTAGTTATCTCTGTCAGTGCGGGATTGTTCATGCCAGAAACCCATTGCGTGACCTAAAGTTTAATAAAAGTAGCACCAATAAGTAACGAATAATTAATTATACAGAGGTCACCCGGAGACTGCATTACCTTCATACCTTCGATAGCAAAACTCATTTTGTATTCATATTATGTCCATGTAATCTTGTATGTATTCCTTATATGTATTCATGCACAAATTAAGCTTGCATTTAAAATACACTTTTTCGATAATTATGTCATTTGGCCTGGGAGCCTCGCTCTCATGAATCGTGAGCCAATCACCTTGCGTAATTTACTAATGAGAGCGAGGCTCCAGGACCAAAAAGTAAGTGTAATTATCGAAAGGGTGTATTTTCACATTCAGTTTATTACAGCCTGAAAAATGAGACAAACTTTTGAAAAATTCTAATCCAATGTTCATTCACCAAAGTTTCAGCGACGTATTCTAGCTGGCGTACAGTCATTAGTATCCCACGCAGAAATATGTCACAAACTAAACTACCCGAGGTGATAATTAACATAACATATAAACATCGAGTGTTTAAAAAAAACTGAAACAAATAAGAACCTATAAACAACTATAAATTCGGATTATTATTGTCGGATTCAATATCATATGGTTAGCAGTTTGGTGTTCACGGCAACCAGATGAGTGTAGTTAACATATCCCAACAAACCGCTGATCATGCAGGTTAGGGATTAGAGTTAACGTATAATAAATGAGACCGCGAATGCACATATTTGCAAAGGTCCGCTTGCGCTAGACATCAGGTTTCATGCACTGTCAACTCTGGTTAAAATGGATCCTCGAACGTATTATATAGCCAGCGGCGAAAACATGTCTGCTGCTAACAGAAAAGATTCTATCTGTTCTCTACAGCATAGATTATTTACAAATAAGATATAACAGCGTAATCTATCCCCTTCGTTAGTTAATATTTTATTGGAAATGTTTGAATAATTAGTGTCTTTTACTCTTGGTTTAATTTCCTCAGAAAAGGTTTATCTCAATGTTCTCATCACACCTTATCATCATGCATTTCTAATACATAATATAACAAATTATACTAATTGTTCTCATGATACGAATTCTACACCTGGCTGCAGACTGGTTTAATAACTTACCAATTTCGTGTATCACAACACCAACGTGTTCACATCCAGTCCCAATGGATATCACCTGACGACCTGTTTGACGACCTACTCTCGAGTAACACCTACAGAAAAATATATGTATAGGTTTTCAAGATTTCTAGGCACATTCTGGGGTTTATCTTCAATATTTAATTTTACCAGATTTTTCTCATCTCAACACACTATAGTCTCAACACACTAGTCACGTCTCTAGCTGGAGGAAAGCGCAAGATCAAATCGTTTGCTAAATCTCCTAATACATTCATTCCCAGTTCAAAAAACAACCCTGATCCATGTAATTTAAAGCACTTAGTACTAAATAGGGGAGCAAAACACAAACAACGCACTACGCCAGTGAAAGAGGTATGCATGCTACACCATTTATTTATTTATTTATTAAAAATAGACAGTATTCCATCTTGCCAATTAAAGCATTCATTTAAAATCTTTGCCGTAATGCATGCACCCAATAAATTACTCACACAACTTAAGATTTTTCCGATTAAAATAAATATACAATTGCATGCGGGCGGAGATTCTTGCAATTTAATATATATTTCATTATTTCTAGTAATATATTAACTCGCAAATTTCTGAGAATCTGAGAATTTAAAAATGTATTCGATGTCGCCGTAATGTTTTCGTCGTGTGTTTGCATGCATGGATTGCTTATTTGCTTATATAGTGCTTATATAGTATAATACACAACTATACATATTTAATATAGCGTCTTAGGGGCAAAGACCAGTTCTCATCTACGAATACCTTGAGTTATTTTATGCATTTTCAAAAACAATTTAATTATTCTACTACGTATGCATATTAAAATTTAAAATTAAGTCAAAGTCGTTTAGAACATCCACTCAATACGTATGGACATATTTAATATATAGCGTCTTAGGGGCAAAGACCAGTTCTCATCTACGAATACCTTGAATTATTTTATGCATTTTCAAAAACAATTTAATTATTCTACTACGCATGCATATTAAAATTTAAAATTGAGTCAAAGTCGTTTAGAACATCCACTCAATACGAGTTGCTATCGATATGTAAAATATTATAAAATAATATCTCAAAGGGAAATGTTTTCAAAATGCCGTTCCTGGTTTGAGATATTGGACGAAAAGCGTGGAACGTACGACTGGTGGAAGATATATGTCCATAATCGACCTACCCTTCTCCTTTTATAAAACGAATGTAATCCCGCGGTCTTTTAGAACTATCCAGTTTATTGATGTCGTTCCAATTTCCCATGCATGGTAAAGTATCTTCCCATTGTTTTATTGCTGCAAGAATGGTCTGTTGTACAAACTCTGGAAACAAATAAATTGCTGGTTAAGGCTGCATGTGATACAACCGAGAGGGAGATTTTATTTAAGCAAATCGCATTATGTTCGGGATTGCAAACTGCGGATGTCGGGATGAAATCATGAAAGGTCTTGATCTTTTTTCAATCGTTGTTAGAATATAATATGGCTAGGAATTGGCAATATAATATGTCAAGGGACAGCAGTTTTTACATGCATATCTGAGTCATTTCAAATTATAAAAATATTCGCATAAGTGCACCGACCTTTCTCCTTTTAACATTACATGCATGCATGCATGCATATACAGGGGGTATGTGGCCATAAAAAGTGGGCCCCCATATAAAAAAATGATTTATCCATTTCTTTGTCACCATACAAGTAAAAAAAGTCTTAACAAAAGTCATGGTTTTGAACTTACTCAGTCTTCTGTAAGTGTGAATAAAAATTGTGATTTCCAGTCAAGGATTAGAAAAATAGATACGTTTAGAGAGTTTTTACTCAAAATTCAAGATGGAAAATTTGAATGAGGAATTCACTAACATCGTTGAATAATCTGCCTTTTTACGTTACTTTACGTTAGATTTATACGTTACTCGAAACAATTATAGTAAATTTGCGCATAAATTTGAGTTATTCAATATTTTGAGTCACTCCAGTGGGTGCATTATTTTACTTACCTTTTTGAGTCACACTTTTTTGCAGTGTAAAATTTTACAATGCCATGTATATGCATATAAAATTTTACATAACTGCCATGTATATTAACTATGGGAAGTACTAAACAATCGATCGCAAATATGTGAAAACAATGCAAATGTATACTTAGTGCCAATCCTTTTCTAGTTTACCAAGTCACCAGGTCCAGGATAAAAACCTTAAATATACTTACTTCTTAAATCGCTGCTTATGACGTAAGCTATCTTGTTAGGCTGCCATAATTTTGTGGCAAGCTTTTTCATGACAGCTCGTTTTCCCCTTCCTCCACCACGATTAAGAATTCCCAAAATATCACGTTTGTTTATTGCAATGTCACCTTGGAACAGGAATTCTGTCTCACCACTGCGTGACCTTGTTCTGCCTATATGTAATTTTAATTTAAAAACTAACTTAATATATGTCAAGGCGGTACATCTGCAAAATGCAACATTTGGAAGTCAGTAACCTAACTCAGTGATCTATAACAGTATGCCCGCTAAGATGGACTGTTTGCAAAGAAAAACTCAAATAACTCTTTTCCTAGTAAAAAGACTATAAATATGTATAACCTTGATAAGTTTTAATAATATTAATACTCGACAACTTTGCCAAAAGTTTGTTTGCATGTAAATAACCGCTTTTTACCGCCATTGGCATTGAACGGCTTTTTCGACGATCTAAAGTGAAGCTGGATCACAACTGCTCTGTTTTTTACTTTTAACCTTTTATGATGAATGTTTGAAAAAATGTTGTTGTCATTTTATCCTTTAATACAGGGGCGTCGGAGCGGCTCGAAAAGTGGGGGGGGGGGGCACACTTAGTGCCCTCCGAAGGCGGGTTACATTCTATGGGGGTCTGGGTGCACGCTACAGTCCGTAAAATGTCATTTCCTGCACTTTAGAAGGAGATTTACAGAGTTCTAAAGGTAACAAAATGTCATAAAATATCTCAAATTGTCTTGTCTACACGCGTAACTGAAATAATATCAATTAACTTTGTGGTTTATTATTGACCATTGTTAAAAAGTGGGGGGCCAAAGACATTTCGGCCCCCTCAACTAAAAAAAGTGCCCCCCCCTTCCAACACCCCTGCTTTAAAGGTGATGTAAAGTCCGTAATGTAAACAAACGCTTTGTTTACATTTTGAACTCAGTGCTGCAGTTGTAAAATATGATTAGATATATATTATACTGAATTTTTAACACTCTTCCGGTTCGCTATGTTTGTAAATGAATGCAGACTGGAGATTCAATTCAAGAAAGTTCGGAAGGTGCGAAATATTAACAACATTCCAAAGGTTGCTCCCCCAACACCGCGGAAAAACGTCTGCGCATGCACCAAATTATGAAAATATGGCGGGGAATTTGAATATCAATTTCTAAAACAAAAACATGCTTATTAATTGGTCAAAAATTAGTAAAACAAACGAGAAAATATAGCAAATGGGTAGACTAGACATTAATTGAAAGCGTCCTGCCATTTAAAGTATGGAATGAAATATAATTCATGTAAAAAATTGTTGATTTTAACGGACACGACTTCGAAAATTTTTGCAAAATTATTCAAAACAAAAATTCAAACTCAAAAGTTAAGAAAACTCTCGAAAAGTTAAGCTTCTTAACCCACGTAAATTGTAGAATAAATCCTAAAGTTTAATTATTGTGAACACGAAAATTTTTTATATTTGGCGACACAGTTTTTTTTAAAGAAATGTATCTCAAACGAAAATTCGGTAATGGTCGTTGCTTAGTTGATAAACAAAATGTTTCAGACGATATATAAATTTGTCAACAATCACCTTTAGTTCATGTTCTTGTACAATACAATTTCTTGAACCTTCTGGCTGTATTTATTCCTAGTTTTTAGAATGACATGTTTATTTTTGCGCTCGAAATCTGGCTGTAAAGACGCACAATGAAGTCACTCCTTTTTACCGCCATTTTGAGCCTTCGGAAACGTTCGGAACAGCTTCTCATCAAGTTCGCAATACTATTACAGGTAAGGTGGACGCATGCGCAGACGTTTTTCCGCGGTGTTTGCTCCCCCACTGATGGATGTGTTGATGCGCAGAATATATGCGCAGAACGGACTTTACAGCATCTTTAAGAAAATGCGATTTCGACCGGCAATTAATCGGTTTAATTGTAATGCTTACTTCTGCTTGGAATAACACAAAAAAGGTGTGATTCAAAAGCTAAAGCCTATATTTACTAATTATAGATTAAGAAATTAATCTATACACGCAATATTGAACGCACAAAAGCACATCACTGTTGGATTAGCTTTTTTTTAATAAACATCTGGCCTGTATCTGAGCCACAGGACTATAATCATAGTGTAAGTACTGTAGTTTTGTGGCAAAAATATGAAAACTACGTTTGAAAACGGGGCGGTAACGTATGGTATAAGAACAACCATAAATAAAACTTACGTCGTGCTTGAGCATTGGCTCTCAGGATGATATCAAACAAAGATGGCCGACTACTGTCAGCGACACCTTCTCGACCATCGCTCGACTTTGAGATTACTTTCCACATTTCCGCCCAGTTAGCTTGATCATCTCCAAGCCCAATACTAAAGTTTGTTGTTAGATTTTGGGCTAGAAAATTGATATATACAAATATTAAATCCACTTTTTTTACTTCCCATCGGGACCAGCATAATTCATCATGCTTGTCAAAATTTTCCATTTTCGGACCGCGATTTTGGGTGGCAAAAATTAATAGTGGGAACTATATGTCTATGGACAGTACAGGAAACTACTGTCTGAATTCACTAGAAAATGGCCTTTCTGAATTGGTATTTAGCCAGTTAAATGAAAGCGATCATTTGGACCTCTATCGAAGTAAACTTTTGATAACGTGTACCTTTTTTATTTAGCTTTAAAAGCATCCCCCACCCAAAATTGTGCAAGTAAATAATTTACGTCACATGCCGATGTGATGTGCTAAATATGACATATATGGTAAACAAAAATTACAAAATGAAATTCGGATTTGCTTTTATAGTACTATACTTGTTTTTATTTACAAACAAATGTCAAATACATTATCAGTAACATGCATAATTTCAGGAAGTAAAACAAACGTATAGTATAATAAATTAGTAAAATAGCAAAATCGTGAAAATATGTGTTATGCCAAAGAAAAACTCCGTGAGTTATAGCAGGATCTTATAACATTTCCTTAGATCATAATCATGATCACGTACACATTTCTCACGACTAATGACTTTAACGACTAATTCTAATTGAACCAGTCAGGTGCGCGCATTGAGTGTAAATTAAGTGCGGACGTCTCACGCATTTCCTGCAATTGTTGTTGTACGTCAAACCACGGTCAAACCTGCACCCAATGAAATTATTTCCTATTTGAAAACTGGGTTATTGGCTTATTGCGGCATCCTGCCATTAATTTACATCGAGTATTATTTACATAGGGTATTATGCATTAATTTAGAACCAAATCAATACTAATCAACTATATGAATCTTGCTTTTAGTCGATACAGACGATACTTTGTCGGTAGTTCAAGAATGTACGCTTACGACTATAAACAAATAACGAATGTATTTCTGTACTGCACATATATATATATATATATATATATATATATATATATATATATATATATATATATATATATATATATATATATATATATATATATATATATATATATATATATATATATATATATATATATATATATATATATATATATATATATCTCTATATATATATATATATATATCTATATATATATAT